CGCAATGAAAAATTTTACGATTAGCCAAGGAGACAATCGCAGACGGATTTAATTTTAAACGCGACCGCTCTAAAGCGATTTTATGCTTTATCGTCCGCACTTAAGGCTTAATATCTCGCGCCGTGCCGTAGTTCTGGAAGTTTCGCCGACGTGCGCAATCCTGGGATCGTGCGATATGGCACCAACGCATGTGATGTTCGGCGCACGCAGTTGAGATGTCTAACATAGAGAAAGCACTGCAATAAAAGTAATAAGAGCACTGTAATGCAGCAATCTTGGTGTTTTTCGTACTAAAAGCGAAACGCGACTCAGTCATTGCGAGCTATGTTTAAACTTGGAGCATTCAAAAATCAATGATGGTGAAATTTTCTGAGAAATTCCTCTAATTATAATCGTATTTTTAAGTTTCATTAGTTTAAGGTAACTTGGAAGGAAACCTCTTCCGTCTAGACGGAATTAACTTTTGCTAGGAAGCGATTTACTTCTACTATTTAATTATCTTCCCCGGTTACGTGCTAAGCAGAATTCCTCATTCGTACGAAGCTTGAATATAAACAATTCTGAACTTGAAATTCAACAATCACTTAATAATGACTAATGAATCGCTTGCGTTTTAAGCGAATGATGGATCGAGTGAATTTAAATCGTCACGTTAACGCTACTTAACCTAAATGAGCGTTCCATTAAATTCAGTAATTTATCAAATTGTACATTAAAAGCACAAAAATAATACCTTTGCTTTTTTTTACTTAATTTGCATTGGTTTTTATCAATTAACATCTAATATAATTTGTACAAATTTAACTCACGAAATCATTATAAATGAAACTAAATCATGTATAACTAAACACGAAATCAGGTTTAATCAATTCATTTGTTCACCTTCCCCTTTCAAATATTAGGTGACTAATTGAAAAATGGGTTGGCATAGTCACAAAACAATTTTCTAAAAATAAAGTTTTAAAAAAGTCAAATCACTAAATGAAGCAATAAAATCAACTCATTTTAGAACATCGTAAAACAATGTTTGAGAATTTTTTTTCACAGGAAATATAGGTATATTAAATGAAGTCATAGTTGGGATAAATCGTCATCACATTTTTAATACGGCATTATTGTCTTGGCGGTCGAACTCGACTTTTCTTAGCAAGTATCCTCCACAGTGAATCATGATGAATCACTGGCAATACTGCGCCCAAGCAGATTGAGATTGATGTGCGGACACGTATAGAGTAATAAGACGGGGAATGTTTATTTTTGTTGTGATTTCGTATCTGGAGGCCTCATTGCCGCAGTTTGTCGTCAGCCCGCGAACGCATTTGTCAGGATCTGCATTAACTCTGAAGTATCCTTCTCATTTCGACCAGATGAAATTAATTTGATGTTATGAAATACTCGTACATTCGCAACATAACTTTGTTCAAGAAAAATCAATTAAATCAATTAATTCAAATACTTCTCTTAACAGAAAATCAGATAAGTAGTATACAGTCAAAATGTTTGTTTTTACTATATTCTTTCACTATGCCTTTTTACTATGCCTTTTTCATTAAAGTTTCATATTATTTTTTTTATTATGTTGGAGTGATAATTGTCAAGGTTATGCACATTTCTTTATTTCTTTTGTATTAAATTAGTACATTGATACAAAAAGCCGTGATCGCTCAGTCTTTAATTTAATATACTCGAGCAAGCTGACTTCGATTCCCGGTGCCGGCACCTATAAAATTGTTAGTTTTAACTGTTGACTTATCACGTGTAGCAATGAAAGAAAACATCGTGAGGAAACCTGCAAATTTCGAAAAAATACAAAAAAATAATATATTTCGAAGATATGTGAAGTCAAATGAAGATATGTGCGTGGTGCACTATTCAATACCCTCTGTGCAGAGGAGGTCTTTGGCCAGCTGTAGGAAATGATTAGGCTGTTACAATTTTTTTTTAATACAAAAGCACAACAAAAGCGGAATTATATTGATCTTTATTGCTATGTTTGGTTAGTCTCGGTGTATGGAAACCATTAATAATTAGAGCTCTCTTGAAAATGCTCATAATTCCCTATAATCGACTCGCTACAATCGCTATAATGTTATCTAAAGGCGTCGCCGAACGTACCTAGCGTTGGCTAAGCCGATAAAAATCAGTCGTAAGCGCCCGTAGCGCTGTAGCCGCTACACCAATTTCGCGACGTAGCCCGCCGCCCGCCCCCGCCACGTCAAAAACATAATTGGCGTACCCTCACGGTCCCGGAGCACCGACTCTACCGGTGCTCCCCTAGATGTAGTATAAATAGATGTATAAACTACATAATGCATATTGTACGGACGCATAATCGCAGCGTATCGTAAATAAATCGAGTAACACCAGTTCTATCCCAGATCTACTCGTAAATGTATGTCACATAATCAAATTATACGACTTTGTTTTATACTATGTAATCGTATAAAACAAAGTCGTCCCGCTGTCTGTTTGTCCCTATGTATGCTTACATCTTCAAAACTACGCGACGGATTTTGATGCGGTTTTTTTTTAAACTAAATAGAGTGATTAAAGAGGAAGGTTTATATATATCATTTTTACATTTCACCCGTGAGAAGCCGTGGTGAATCGCTAGTACGTACATATTACGATTATTTCTTTATATTCGCATATCCAGTAACTCCTTTTTAGAAAAATTGCGTTAAATTGTTAGTACATAAACAGAATCTGTATGTATTATCTTTTTTATGTTTTAGAGAAATCGTTGTTTCATCAAACGTCATTTGTATATTTATTTATAAATCACCATCAGATTAAAGGTCAAACAAAAATGACAAATATGATTATATTAAGTTGTCAAATAATAATTTATTATTAAATAGACTTGTATAATTCGATATATATTATGTATTTATACATCGATTAAAAATAATAATCCTAGTGTAACCAATTATCATTTTTTTTGCGGCAAAACCTTTACTATAAAGATTATTTTGAAGTGTCTCTTCCATACGGCCTATTTCTTAACTCCCCCTCACACAGTTACACGTTCGAACACAGCCTCCGGAAAAAGGTCAACAACCTCCTTCCCTCCGAGCCTCTCGATATTCGTCAATTTGAATATTCCACCCCCCCGTTTTTAAGGATTAGATTTTCCGCAAAATCCATCCCGTTCTACTTAAGTTTGTTTACATTAAAGCTTTATTTATACGCGTACGTACAACCACTAGAAACCAGGTGTAGTGGTCGTATGTTAAAAGTAAAGTCTATAAATGTCCCACTGTTGGGCAAAGTCCTCTGTAAAGAGGGTATCAGGGCATAGTCCACCGTGCGACCCCACTGCGGATTGGCGGACTTCACATTTTTCGAAATATTTTTTTTTATTATTATTTCGAAAATATGCAGGTTTCCTCACGGTGTTTTCCTTCACCGCCGAGCATGTAATAATTCAGCAGTTAAAATTAACAATTTCATTGGTGCTGGCACCGGGGATGGAACTCAGGTTGCTCGAGTAAATGTAGTTAAAAGCGCCCGGACACTGAGCTATCACGGCCGTATGTTAGGACTTTATTAAATAAAAGTTTTTTTTAATCAGGAAATATTAGTTTACATTATAATATTAAAAGTTATTCCAAGTCTACGCATATTACCAAATACTTTCTGTCAATTTTATTTCATTTAACAATATTTCCCTTCTGTACTTAGTCACAAGCATAAGGTCAACAAAATGATTTTCCTCGTTAAAAAAGTTTCGACGGTGAATATATCCAGTTCGACCGACCAATAGCGGAAACGGATAAGAAATGATCCGGAATAACCGCAAGGAGGGTTAGACTGACTTCAAAAGCGCCAAGCTTCATAATTTTATGTCATCTGTTAAAATGCATTTGTTACTAAATTTTCATACAATACGCATACGAGCTCACTAATTGATGTTTGTTCAGTTTTATTCTTCTTTTTCATTTTTCAGAGAAAAAAAAACAATACGCAAGGTTAACAAAGCCAAAGACTACGCAAGTTGCGTTTTAAAAACTGAACGTCGTTACATTTTATAACAATTGCTACGAAAGACTCGTCAATGAATTACAAACTCTGCTAACCAAACAACCCACTACAAGAACAATACCTACCATTGTTACCGACATAGCCTCTCCCGGCCGTTGTAATGAAAAATGACAAGAGAAGTTAAAGCTTTTACAAGGTCAAGTGTTACGAGGCATCTATAAAAGGAGCTGCATTTCTAGAACAAGACTGTAACTTCCAAGGTCGCAGACTACACGCACACATGAGCAATTAGCCACCCCGTACCCACACCATCCCGAGCACGTGTACGCTCAGCCCTACACATGGTAGTCATGGCAACGCAGCATCACTCCACGCCCACAACTCCGGGGGCGAACTCTCAAGATATTACGCCCTACTTCGCTCGTATTGGCGAACCAAAGGGGTGTAGTTACGCTGCGCCTGTGTGAGTACGCTTAGAACGGTTAGCCTGGAGAATTCGCCAATTTCATTTTCGAAACGATTTCGTGCTCGACGCCCGTCGCTTCAATGCAATCTACTGTACAACTATGTCTACAGTCCATACTTGATAAAAAGTTTGTTTATATTATGACCTATTAGTTTCATAAAACACAAACCAATGATCTAAATTTTATCTTTTTTTATTCTTTGAATACGTGTTCAGCGTCCAATGCATTAAAACGTAAAAATTAGTAGGATGATGAATTAAAAGAAGCTTTATAATGTTTCTATTTGCATCTTATTACATTCGCGCGCAAATGAGAGAATCGCATGATATAACTTGTCTTTTTTGAATAGGAAAAAATATAGGTACGTAACGAATGCTAACCAAGCACTCGACTCCATTCGCTACATTCACCGGCCGCTCGTTAACAAACCTATTCAATTTTGAAGTATTAGTCGATTGAGGCAACATTTCTCGCGTCCTACCGCCGCGAGTTCCAATTAGCGACTGGGGCTTGTCGCTTGAGTGGCGGTGACGTCACGCGGCGCTTTCATGCGGTTTCAATAACTACCCTCTCCACGACTCCTTCAATAGCCGGCCACTCCACCTGGCCTTCATTAGGGACCTCAATGTATACGTCGAGCTGAAAAGGCGACAGGGATCTACTAATTTAAAAAATACAAGTTTTAACGAGTAAAGTTGTTTAGCTAATAACAAGCTAACTCCCACATTGACACCGCAATAATGTGATATAATTTCTTAAATTATTGCGACTTGTTACTGAAACAAAGCCCGCTCGCCGTCTTTTGTTCCTGACCAGTCTCGCCATAGACAAATCTTATTATGGAAATATTTTCAAATTAAGAACGCGCTCCACTCCCGCATTATGCGTCTCGGCTGTCATCATTGTCTAGCTTCTTTTTGTTCGTCCTCGCATGTCGAGGTTTTTCGACCACCGTTTCGGTATTTTTTTTATTCTCTTTTTGTTTATATTTTTTCCCGGGCTGTCCCGAGCGTGAATGGTGGCCTTTGTTTGTTCGTGTTTTATTATTAATTAGTGGGGATCCTTTGTTCTTGGTAATTATTCGTCTTAATAAGCGGATCCCGCTCTCCGACTGCGAGCGGCCGCGGGAGGAATTGTCAGCGCTTTTGGTTTTTAAATGGCTGGCAGTGATAAGGGTTTTCACAACTGGTCCCCCTTAATGGTCCACCACTTTTGTTTCGCGTCCTTATTCTTCTAAATGTCGTTAAACTGATTTAAATCTTTTAAAACTATGCTGCGTTAGTAATTTTATCGACTATTAACACAGTTTCTGTTTCAGTACTTCTATTTCTTATACATTAATTGCTATTTATTTTGAAATGTCAATTAAATAAACATGCAAAAAAATTTTGTTTGGATTACGTTTTAATTCACGACCGATGTAATGTTGGTAAAAGTTCTTATGGCCTGTGTATATTATTACAGATTTCGCAATGATGTATCATGTTATGTCTATTAATAAATTCATAAGCTGAAAATCAGCACTGAGAACTTTTCTAAGGAATCGCTAAGCTTATTATCTTGTTGCACAAATGTTATTTATAATTATATGTGTATTTTAGTTTTTTTTTCATATCTTCTTATTTTTTTTTGTTTTGGCAATTAAAGTATTATTATTATTACCTTTGTTAGACAGTTTCTAGTTCTAAACGAAATTTTTAAGACTATTTGCTTGGGGCAAAATTAAACCAATTAGACAAAAATCACATTAAATAATAACTGTCTTTCATAAGCATATCGCGCGATTTCATCGTTGCGAAATCGGTTCACCGCGCGTCACAATAGCGGGTGGTATACAAAAACTGCACGCGTCCTCGGGCGTACCTTTTCGGCCTCCGCCACAATTAATTTAGCGAACGTGTCGCCCGCGATCCTGTCGTTTATTCCGCATAATGAAGTGCTGAAAAGAAGTCCCAGTTTAATTAGAGGTGAGACACTCTGGCTCGGAAGCGCGCGGCTGAATGGCCCTCGTCGGACGCCATTTTGCATAATTGGGCGACGGAGGGTAGGACGAAATTTATACGGCGCCGCGCCAATTTACTTGCTAATGACGCGTCGTCTTCCCATAGACAGTCTGGCGGGTTTTTGTTCGCGCCGCGCTATATTTCTATGACGGTTTTATTTATTTTTTTCTCATCTGACCCGCAGTATTCGGTGGCAGGCTTTCGGTTTTATGTTCCCTCGGGGTTCCTCGAAATGTTTTTCGTTCACCTTACTAATCGTCACGTTGATTTTTGTACATCGAGCGAACTGAGTACTGAAAATCGAAATCGACTTGTAGCCAATTTAAATTTTTTTTTCAAACAATACCAATATTTTGTGTAATTAACATTTAAGTCCATTATGCGTTAGCGCCGTTTGCGTGCTAAGTCGTGAGCAAAATACATGAAAATGTAATTTCGGTTAATGCTTAAAAAAAACCTACCTATTTCCATTTAGTTTCTTTTTTCTTATCGATTATTTAAATAAATCCTTATTTAATAATACTTTAATATATCGCTGAACATTTTAATGAGAAAATAAAACGAAATCGATTAAGGTTTCTTTAAACGTCACTGAGGTGGAAAATCTGGTGGAAACTAATGTTCAATTATCTTTTGTTACAGGCCGGCAAGATGGGCCTTCCTGCAGGCGGCAGCCTATCGCTGTTTTGCCCGGGGGGGGATTTGGGGCAGCCACCCCCCGCGCATATGGGTATACCTCCCCCCTACCAGTTGGATTCCAAACTGGGTGAGTTATCTTTAATAACGCGGAATATTTAATACTTATTGGTGTTCTCAAATGTACCGCGCAATAACTTTTTCAAAGTTTAAGTATTGAGAGTGTTGCACGGCGCAATTATATATTATTGTGCTAATCACCTTGTATCTATTCAAAGGCGAGACCTCATGGTCTCTACCACTAATGCTCATTTATTTTCTATTTATCCCATAATATTTATATTCATTCGAGTAGATTAAGTTACGTTCTTTATCCTCTTTAATACATGCAACACCTAGCTTTTAGTTAGTTCTAAAAAGATTGAGAGGTCTTTGTGTAGGTAGATATACAAGTAGAGAAAGATTCATTGTGTAAAAAATGGAATCCGCCTATAAACTGTTTGCGTTCAAAATTCTATTCAAATATATACATCGCATCAGTGAGAAGAAAAAAATTACAACTAGAGATACCTTTGCATTTGTAACATTAGTGTGACTACTTAAATACTCATACACAATATTAATGTTTCATCTTAAGTACAGAGATTTAGCACTATAATTTTTAGTTCATTTAGCAATGACTATATTTCTTCGCCTGAACAATCATTGTTAAACAACATTTAAAATTGTGCGTATGCTGTAAAGGACATATAACTATATATGCACTAAACATTGCTTTTCAGCTTAATGGTTATAAAGCTTGAGCGCGAATCCGGAAGATGTGGGTTCAATTCCCACAGCAGTGAAAATTTTCGCCCATTTTTTTAAAATATATTTTTGCGTCTTATATTTATATCTTCTTTCTTACTTATATCTCTTAAATGTATATATTTATATCTCAAAGGCGTAAAGTTTGCCAATCCGCAGTGGGGTCGCGTATTGGACTTTGCCATGACATCCAAAGTCTGCCCAGCTGTGCGATATATAAAGACTGTACTTTAAATTAAAACTTTTATATTTTTTACTTTTATTTAAATACTAAAATAAGCTTACACTTTACTTCAGCAGCGGGGTTAGCGCGGACCCCCATGTACCCCTTTCCCGGGGGTACGTACCCTTACCCCATGCTCAGCCCCGAGATGTCGCAGGTAGCAGCCTCGTGGTGAGTATATGCATTAAATATTTATTCAATCTATTCTCCATCTATTTCGGTTTTGCTAACCTGAAATGATTAATGATATAATATATAACGATTGTCATAAATTAAGAAGTCCTCACTCTCCAAGTAAACGGTCCTATTAATGTATTCACTATTTAGTAGAGATGAAATGCCGTGGCCCTTGACAACAGACTTATGCAACACGTATTTTTATGTTTGGTTCTTTTAAATCTCTTACATAACTCACATTATACTTAAACTCACACCATGGTCCGACCAAACATGTATTAAGCATGTTTTAAAATATACATGTTTTAAATGTCGAAATAAGACTGTTGTACAATTTTCATTAATAACGACTTTACAACATACGTGCGCTTAACGTGAGCTTCGCTAACCGGCGTCACTCTCAATAAACGAAGCAAAATACGACTTACCCCTCTGCTAATACGTGAAAGGGACTTAAAGAGTTCTCGTGCGACTTCTTTCGCGGGGTGTATTGTTTCGCCTGAGAATGCACGAGCGTTTGTATCGCGCACTAGGTCTGTCGCGTGTAGAGCGCTCGTCGGGAGGACCGTGTCAAGTGTGCCAATTTGCGAGGAACATTTTCCCACTCTGAAATTGTCGGGTCCGACGAGCGAGATATTTCGCAGATTCCGTCAGGGATGTGTTTCTCGTTGTTAGAAGTTATACTTCTGTATCGAAATTTTAACCCCTGTGCAAGTGCTCTTTGTTTGTGAAAAAGACATTCAATACAATTCATAACCGTTTAATTAAGTACCTTGGATTTTTAATAAAATAACAAAAAATTGTATTTGTTTGCAATACCGTGAAGTTGGTCGCTTTACCTTTTTTTTTCATGTGCAAAGTTGCCAAACGAGCAGACGGTTCACCTGATGTTAAGTGAACACCGCCGCCCATGGACATCTGCTACACCCGAGGGTTTGCAGATGCGTTGACAACCTTTTTGGAAATTGGGTTCCGGCTACCTCACTCACCAGACGAAACGCGAAAGTATTTATCATACTTCCACTTTAACCGGGCTTCTGTGAGGTCGTGGTACTTACCCGGACGAGCCAGCCCATTCGTGCAACAGCCGAGGCTGCTGCGTGGCTCTACCAACGTTAATCCATCATACATCCACCTATCTCCAACTTCATCATGTCGCTTTTTGGCGACATGATGAAGTTGGAGACATTATCTTTTTTTTATGTCAAAGTGGCAAACAAGCTGCGGTTCATTTGTTATACCGTGAAGTATGATAATGCCATCTATCAACAATTTGTTTAAATGATATCGAAGGAGACTCAATCGAAATATGATCTTTAATTGAAAAATATTTATTTACACCTTATTTTACATTACGATTCGGTATCTGAACACGGTACAGTGCGAAATTTCGCACGGGCCCACAAGTATATCTGTAAAGCGATTATAACCACTTTGTTATACCCATAATGGTAGTCAGTTAAGATTCGCAGCGAGTGATTTGAAAACTTATTTAAATTGGAATACTGTTGGTTTCTGAACAGGCACACGCCGAGCATGTACCCGATTTCCTCGGCGGCCAGTGGCTTCAGGAGTCCGTACCCCACATCCCTGCCAATCAGCAGTTCTAGTCTATCGAGGTGAGTGTTTAGTACCATCAATGCGTTCCCTCAAGTCGTTTAGATTTCTGCTCGCTCTTTTCCACAGTCCGCGGAAATGGAGGTTTCGAATTGATCGAGATAAGTGATTTTTTTCCATTAAATAATCATTTCTAAAATTTGGAACTCCTCATGTTCTATTTCGACTTTGAAGTCTACTTATTTACCATTTGATCATTCATTAGATATTTAAGTTCTTCAATGTTTAAAATAACTGTTATATAGCGAGTGAACCTAATTTAAATATTATTCATTCATGTTTTTATTCATTGGTCTGAAATTCATGTTTTCACTAGATTTATAGATTTATAGTTATTATTTTCTGGACAAAAAGATACCTAGAAAGCCTAAGCTAAATGAAACATTTTGAACTGTAATGTAACGGAGTAAAAGAATAAGAAATATCCCGCCTTCGTATGCGATCGTTTATCCTTACTAATATTATAAAGGCGAAAGTTTGTATGTATGGATGGATGTTTGTTACTCTTTCACGCAAATACTACTGAATGGATTTTATTGAAACTTTACCATAATATAGCTTATACATCAGAATAAGACAAAGGCTATAATTTATAAACATATTTTATGTATATATGTCTTTCTGTCTGAATGTTACGCCTTAAGCCTATTCTACGCAGACGTAGTCGCGGGCAGCAGCTAGTTAGGAATGATTTAATATATCCTAACACCTGGACAGCCATGTTGCTTATTTTTATAGACACTTCATGGCTAATTTTCTCAGGGAAAAGTCAACTTTGGTACCATTAGAAGCCTAATTGGTCTATAATAAGATTACGTAGGAATAATTATGTACGTCAAAAGCGACATTATTGCTTTTTTCTATTGGTGATACAACAGAATAACTCTTCTTAATTGAAAAATTTAAATATCACTTATTTTTATATCTAATTAAATTATCATAGAACCGAAATATTAGTTATACTTGATTCACTTTACCTTTAGGTGATTGTCATAATATTTATTGTGTATTTCTGTTATCTCAAAAACGTAATGCATCCGTAATTTAAAAATATTTTTATTACATATTAATTGTTTTTATTACATTTTATTTAATTTACAATGGATATTTCAACTTTTATTTATATGGTGACGTATTTTTATATTATTTTTGTATTTTGCATAATTTTATCCATTTCGCCCACAGTGCCGTAATTAAGTGAAATTTAATAAAAGTATGAAAGTTTTACTAGATTGAAATATAAAGAAGTGATAACTTTTTCGACAGTGAGTTATATCGGTTCTCACCGACCCTGGGCGGTGGTCTGGGTCTGGGGTTAAGCCCAGCACTGGTTCCAGCGCCCCCCTCCAAAGTGGACATCTTTACGCACCATTCGAGGTAGGTTCGAGTTTACTCATCACACGTTAGGGACGTACTCGCTGGTGAAATTCGAAATTCCTTCATTCAATATGGAGTCGTTTAAGCTCTTAACCGGTTCACCTGTACAACGAAGGACCGGCAGGAAACTCTGCGGTCTTCTTTTCTTAATAATAAAATATAAAATCACCAGTCAGAGGAATTGCAAGTGCACACGCCCTTGTTCTTAATGTATTTTTCGACATTACAATGGAAAGGTTTACACTTAGTTGTTTGTGTGGACGTCGATTCGATTCCCCGGTTTTCGTATGCTTGGCGTCCTTTTTTTTATGTGAAAAGTTGCCAAGCGAGCAAACGGTTCACCTGATGTTAAGTGAATACCGCCGCCCATGGACATCTGCTATACCCGAGGGTTACAGATGCGTTGACAACCTTTTGAAAATTGGGCTCCGGCCACCTCACTTACCAGACGAAACGCGAAAGTATTATACTTCCACTCTACGCCGGTCTTCTGTGAGGTCGTGGTACTTACCCGGACGAGCTTGCCCATTCGTGCAACAGCCGAGGCTGCTGCGTGGCCCTACCACCGTAAAAAATACTGTCTGTTACTTCGGACCGGAGCAGAGCGTCTAACTTATTCATTGAAGTATCAGTTTTATCAAATTTGGGCTACTGGCACTGCAAATTTCGATCGAATAAAGATATCGTGGGTCCAGGGTTACAGGATTTAAGTGCTCGTGCAGGTTCCCAGAAGCGATGGAGGCTAGTTCTCATGGAGTTTATCACGTAGATCGCGATGTCGATGTGTGGAGCCAATCCGGGTACATGGTGTGCATTCGAGAATATGCCGGCCTGGGTACGTCCGGACTGGGATAGGTCGTACCAGCTGAGAGCGTACGTGTCGACCCAAAAGTGGTGACAGAGTCGGTGATGGGCACAGATTTTGTGGTACCTACCAAATGATTTTTAATAATTTTCTGGCGATATTCGTTAAACAGTAGTCTTTGCTCGTAAATATAGAATAATTTTAAAGTCCGTTCTGCATCTATTGATATTTAAAACTGATGACGGCATACTACTTAGAAATTTTATTCGCCATAAGTATAAAAAAGTACTACTTATATATTTGGTTCGGGTTATCCAGCACAATGTAATAAGTCGCTCATTACTCTGTATGGAAACTTCGTGGACAATAAACAAAAGTTACGTAACATACGGATTTCCTTTTTTTTTTTTTTTCATTTTATAACACATCAGGAGGGTTCTTAAAGACATTTGATGGACACATATCACATAGATACACCTCTATTAGGTACATTTATCTATAAGTCAGAGAAAATTCCCATTTGGGATACAAATCCCCATCGCCGTAGTCCTTCGCTAATCGTGTACGTCGGGGCCCATTTTGCCAGTGGTCACGTCCAAGCGTTGGCAAGTGACGTCTGTCGGCGCCATTTTGTCCCCGTTTCCGTGAGCATACGCGCGATTCCAGACACGCGCCATTAATAACATAGCGAAACGACCCGCGACTAGAGTGACCACAAACGGAGCGTGAAAACTCGAGACGGATAAAAAAGTTCGGACATCCTCTATTAGGCAAATATTCGAAAGTCGTGATCGTACTTACTTTAAAGATTAAATGGCATTTCAATTGTTGTGTTTTATTTGTGTTTAAAGTTATACTATGTAACATTTGAACATTCATTAAAATACGTAACACGGTTGTGAAATAGCAAAAAAATCGGACATGTCCGTACAAAATGATCCGCTTGGCAACCCGCCCGTGTAAACTTGTAATAACAAGGTCCTAAAAACGCCTCAATCGAAGTGAACCCGACGCGGTACCATTGTCGCAGCATACGCCCTTTCGCAAGGTATCATTGAGCGATCTTATCGCACGAATATTACACGGATAAAGTCTGCCGACCCCCTCTTTATCGTCAGATTGAAGATAAGCCGCTAACAGGGGCGCGCGGATTGACAGATGCGTTTTAGGAAATCGCATTAGGGCTCGCACAAAGTGTTTTATTATTTTAAATGTGTTTTATATTACAGAATGAACGGTTAATGTAAATACTTACTTTTTCCGTTCGCTATAACGGTAAATGGGTCGATAGTGGAAATGTAACTCCAGTTCTAAAATTGACGCGAGGTCTGTACGATCTATTTCGCGAAAATGAGATTTATTTTAATGCAATAGAGTTGTAGTGTATGGCGTATATGAACAGTAATATTATAACAGAATGGTTAAAGTGAAAGATTAACTTGTTTTTATCCAAGTAAAATTAACAATCCCCATGGTATTCTTAATTTCCTCTCAACTTGTTACGTATATGCATCCGTTAAGAAAGTTTAAAATAAGGGGAAAAGTCATTTTAATCGACTCATCAATCATCATTATTTAACTGTTAACATGGCATGAAAAAAGTATGATCTTTTTCATAAAAAAATTATAAAGAATTTTAAAAATATGTCATTGAATCAAGTAGCAGCAATATCAGAATTCTTCTTTTTCTTAAACATTATACTTGATTGTGGCGTTAAAAACAAGGAACGGAGAGGAAACGTCGGGTCGAATATCTAACAATGTCAGTTAACTTTTGAATATTAAAAAGTCGGTTTGATCGAAGTCCTTTCTTATTTGAATTCTCCAACTGCGGCTTGTTCGATGAATTTGCAACAATTAAACTTATAACGAAGGCGTCACACACGAAAGAATGGCAACGCAGAAGGCAATATGTAATCTTACACCTTTCAACGCGTCATCGTTTTATACACGTCGCATCAGTCAAAATTACATAATCAGCCGGCGCATTGTTGCGTGGCCACAGTTGCAGCGGAATTACTTTATCATAGTCATGTAGCTTTCCCGCCGATGTTTTCCTTCACCGCTGAGCACGTGATAATTCACCAATTAAATTAACAATTTCATTGGTGCTGGCAACGAGATCCAAACTCTGGTTACTTGAGTATGTAGAGTTAAAGTCGAGCGCCCGGACACTAAGCTATCACGGCTTCGCTTTTATTAAGATCGTGGCGTCTGTTAAATTTTTAATAATAATAATGAACATTTGTTTATATCGCAGTTTGTTGTCGTTAAGTCTCTAGGTAGATCTTATTCGTTAAACTATAAGATACAACATCTTTCTATACGGTCATATGTGAAATCATTTATAACAAGTCTCCACTAAATGAACTAAATATATTATCTGGACAACAAATTTTATATAACAGAATTAATTGTCAAATGTCCCAATTTGTCACAATTTTGATAATCGGCTGTTTATATTAAATAACAATTATTGTCCATCAGTGTTCTATTTGAAACCATATCCAATCTTCAATTGTAATGAAGAAATGATCTATATTGTCTGCCGAAATCCAGTTACTTTATCCAGATTCTTATCTGTTGAAAGTGGTTTAAGGTGAATTGAAAGAGTTAATAGAAAAAAAATATAATTAATTCCTGCCCATAACATAATTAGTCGTAATATTTTTTTGTAGCACGTTAATTTTGTTTTGAAATTTTGTATCTCCACGTGAACCTGTTTATACGCATTATTTTTAAATTCCTACCCGCTCCGCCTGGCACCACCGCGCGCGTTCGACCAAACGTATCCAACAACACATAAAAGTCCAGGTACAATCATGTAAATAAGCTGCTTGAGGTGAAATTTAATTAAGATGATATATGAGACGCGCCGGGTTAACGGGCCACTGTGACTTTGAGGTACAGTCGGCACGACAACCGCGGACAGCGCGAGATGCCCGCAAATAAAAGTTTCGTTTTATTTGACGCGTAAAGCATAAGATAAAAACTAAGAATTGAATTCAAATGATGTTACGTGAGCTTCGGTCGTAAGTTAGTGATCGGGTACTATGCTTCGGATAAATTTTTAGATTGAAACTTGTTGTAAATTTACTTTGTTATCAAAGCTCTCTTTTTTAACATAGTTCATTCGAAAAGAAAACATATATTATGCTAAGAATGTATGTTTTAAAATTGATATCTCCTAGTACTTTTAATGATCGTTCTCACCTTCTTTTGTATTTATTGCCTATATCAAATGACTTAATGTCTTTTAATTAATATGAGCCATAGAAATGATGACTATATAGCTTATTTATTTTAAATTTAATCGTTTACTTTTACACGTTCGCCAACAAGCATAGGAATTGGTCTGATTTATATTTTAAACAAAACCGTTTTTTTTAAATGTTCAGTCAATCCGTATGCGACTGTACCAACACCAAACATAATTACTGCGTGCGCGCCACTGAATACCTCATTTGGAAGCGCGCGAGCATTGTGCCCGGGATTTTGGTCTCCCTTCTTCTTTTTTAACCTTTTACCCATTTTTAAAGCGACTCGCCTTGGCGCATTAAGGAAGTCGTATATTCGACCGTTCCGAATGTTCCCCGAACTAATTTTACGTATAAAAGTCCGTATTAGACGTATCGAGCGTGCGTATATGTCTCTGACAATATGTTTTATAGGCTCTATTTCTGTTGCGCACATCTCGGGTGCAGGAAGTCGTTTCTCAGGCGTTCCGTTTATTTTTCAAACATTGTGTTTATTAATTTCACCGCGGACCGTACGGCGTATGGGATATTTTGGTGTCCATCCGCGTTTTCATTTGCATCGCGCAGATACATTTGCCGATGTCGCGTCTCCGGCTCATCGTAATAATTTACACGTTAACATATACCGGAACATTTGGCAGCTATGTGCCTTTCTGCTATTTTTTTTATATTTAACGTTGCATTAATTAACTGTGTCCCATGTTCGTAGCGAATCTGTGGAGTAAGCACGGCCGAAATTGGGACACAAAAAAGTGATGGATGGACACGTCTCGACGGTTTACAGCGCTCCAATTATTTACCGATTATGAAGTCTTGCCGATATTAACGAATACCGACTCGGTTAATATGTCGTCGGATCTCAATATGCTTAATCTTATGATAGATGGCTACTACGTATATAGAAAACGACATCTTTCGTTGGTAAAAGAAATCTTGCTATCCTTATTAAATCAAGGTGGAAAAGCCGTTCTCAAGTCTAATGAGTTTCGATCATTCGTCCTAATCGCCCAATCGAAAAAACATTAGTGATGGGATGTTATTAACAACAATAACATTCGTTTTACTTTAATATTGTAAGTAGGTACTATAAAGATAAAAAATTGTCATTAATTTATTATTCTTATGTCAAGTTTATTTTAAACTAAATTGCCGACATGCCGACTACTGCACAGCATTCATGACATGAAAATTCGATTTAAAGGTCAGACGAGGCGCGGGGACAAGTTTAATGAAACAAATTTAAAAACTGTTAGGTCAGGTTTTCTAAAACTCAAAAATAAACTCTCAACGTCCGCTCGAGCGTTCCAAAATCCGCCCGTGGATACGCGCGTACGTCCGTGGATACGCCCGCGTGTCCGCGTCGGTGTCCGCAATTGACGCGTGTCTGCGCCCGCGCCTCGCCGGAAACGCCGCGTCTATTTCCAACCGGACGCTCGCTAGTTTATTGTCGCCCGTCTGGGTGTCGTTAACACCTAAACTCGTTATTAACATATCGATATCGGCGCCGATAAACTTGATAGATCGATGCTCTATTAGGGCCCCTCGCTTGTGAAAGGATACGCCGTGACGTTTGCCGTCTGAAATTGTTTTATTAACGCCTGCTTCAAAAGTTAGGTGCAACTTTACGTGTGGTTAGTCTTTAATATTGAGATGGGTTAATGTTTTTTAACTTTCTTCCAGGTTATGCCACTGTCTCTTCGGAACCGACAAATAAATTTAATTATTTAGGATCAAGTTGTTATTTATTATGTGGATTTAGAAAGATTTTACGTAACATTTTATTTTTATTATTGACCTGCAAATAGCAATATGCAGTTTGGTGTAGTATTCTCGACAGCGACATCTAGCGCCTATTACTTGTAACATCGTTGATACTTTTCTCTACAATGTTTAATGTCCCTTCACGAGTTTTATGTTCGTTTAGATACCAACTTGGATTTATTTCGTGGATTACTGGGGACGTTTATTTTCACATTGTCAGTCGCTTATCGTTTCTCCACTTGCTAGAACTATAAACTGAAATGATGGTTATTTTTACGATTTTATTCCGAACGTAAAAGTCTCTCGAACCGAGTACGCTATTACGACTGGATTGGCAGTACACAGAGCAAACAGTACCCGCAGAAGTTTGTCATTGTTTTACCGGCCTTTATCAATTTTAGATCACAGGCGGAGAAGGGCGGCGGCGGTGGCGCAAGCGATAAGCCCAACGAGGGCTCCGCGAACGCCAACAGCAAGGAGCAGAACAAGAAACCCCACATAAAGAAACCCCTCAACGCCTTCATGCTGTACATGAAGGAGATGAGGGCTAAGGTAGTGGCCGAATGCACGCTCAAGGAGTCAGCGGCGATCAACCAGATCCTCGGCAGACGGGTGAGTTCGAATTTCGAAGCTAAATGTGTTTCGATCTTTATTTTTTAATTTTTTTCCTCATTTGTTTTACGATATTCGCACTTATCAGTGACCGAATGAAATCCGAACTGGCCACAATGTACTCAATACGTCAGCAAAAGAAACTTAGATGTGTATACAAGATTATTTCCAGTACGATTTATCCTTGACTCAGTGTTTTGTTTCGTATAGAGCCGATGTTGTCATTGTTAATCTTGTTAGGAATACGATTCGCGGGGCGTCGTGTAAACACACCGCTCGCGTTGCAAGACAATGCAGCGTGCCCAAGGCGCCGCCGTATCGGCGATCTATACTAGATGTGTTGAATAATAAATAACGATGACCGTAACGCGGCGCGCTACCGAGAACCGAACCCGTTAGCCGGTTCCGAGAACGCAATCCCATTCCTAACAAGAGTAGCAACTGTGTTTAACCATTATCGCGCTCGCACGTGACCGTTCGAGCGCTTCCAGCGCTTCGACGCTCGCGCGGCGACGTTAGATCCGCGGTGCCGTTGTGGACACCCCGTAATGTGCTATACTCGTGTCAATACGCAGTGGCATTCATTGAGTCGCGAGGAGCAGGCAAAGTACTATGAGAAAGCGAGGCAAGAGAGACAGCTCCATATGCAGCTATACCCCGGCTGGAGCGCGAGGGACAACTACGGTTACGGTTCCAAAAAGAAAAAGCGGAAAAAGGACCGAGGTCCCGCTGAACTGGGAGGTATTGGACCTTAGGAACTGTAACCCGACACGCGAGGGGCTGGGTCACGTCGACGCTTGTGTACACTCGCTTCACCTCCGCCCCATCCACGGATCCGTCCCGCATCGGGCCGAGCGAGAATCCTCCGCTGACGGTGGATAGTCGATAGACGGGAGACTCTCGCTCGTGGCGCCCCCCCTAACACTGACTAACCTCCGGCTTGCGTCCACACTGACCGCCCCGTAACCCCGCCCCCACCATCCCCTGTATGTGAGTGTGCGTGTTTGCGTGTGTACGTGTGCACTCTCCTCCGCCGCCGGTTACCTGTGCTAGAAAAGCGGCCGGAACCGTCGCCGGCCGGCTGTTGCGTGTTGTGTACTGTAGTCGTCGAGTGACCGTGTACTGTTACTTACCTCACACCCCCCCTCGGAAACATTGGTTTGTTCTATGTATAGGCGCGTCGACCGACCGCAGAATAGGTTCTGTGAGGAACACAATTGGCCATTCTCATTCACGTCAGTAGGTTCAAAATTGCCGCGGGGACGCGATAAGGGGGGCTGTTTTTCTAGCACCAGATCAGGGTCGACGCCCCGACGCATGGGCCGCGGTCGAAGTGCATTTCTCTTTTCTTTCCATATTGCCGCCCGTTCACGGTACAGTGGCACGCACTCGGCCGAGAGGAGCAAGCCAAGTATTACGAGTTGGCGCGTCGGGAACGCCAGCTACACATGCAACTCTATCCCGATTGGTCGTCTAGGGCTAATACGCAAAGGGGCAAGAAGAGGAAACGAAAACAGGAGACAACCGATGGAGGTACTGCCTTTCGCTCCGTCGAACTCCTCGCTGTCCCGTTCACCCAACATCCAGTTCCCCTGCCGAGGGCCACTGTGTCACGAGCCGCGAATAAAGGGCGAGCTGATGTTACAAAAATAAGTAATACGCCTCGTTTGGAATCCGACGAGGCCGACACGTGGTCCCCAACAGCGGGCGTCTCGTAACGTTTGCGTATATATGCACGCTACGACTCATTAAAAAAAATGAGGTCAATTAATGAAGGATTAGTCCGGAGACGTCGGCTGCTCCCTCCCCCCAATACCCGCTCCCCTCCCCGTCATCAGACCGCGAGAGTTCAATTGTTTTGAACTTCGTTCCAACAACCATGCGAAGTAGAACTATTGCCGAATGTCTATGGTTGAAGGGGTCCAGGTTGTAGACTTTATCAGCATTTCAATTTATTTAATATTTATCGCATTTATTTATCTATTTATATATCTCCTTTTTTATTTCTGTAATTACAACGCTACTATCACGTGAAACACCCTGAGTAAGTGGCACTCCTTCGAAGGTTGTCCCGGTTTTTGGCTTTCCATCCTGCTCCGAAGTGCCTACGTGACCTGGGAGCGCGCATGCTGCGACCGAGCAGACAATATTTGAACACACGAGTAATTGCTTCGCAGGGACAGTAGACGCACTCTGTGCTGGCTGGGACAGCCTTCTTGAGATATTTCAAGTATGCAAAGGTGTAGAGTGAGACATATTGTATGCATGAAGAGCTTAGGAGAGGACGGCACTATCCAAGCGAGCTACATAGAATTCTATAACCGAGATTACCTCACAGGAGCGACACACACTTCGGTCCAAACGAAAGCTGCCGATGCTTATCTACCGATGCTTTATACACCGCAGGGTGTATATGTATAATGATACTGGCCAAATGAACATAAAATATTTATTTTGATTCCGGAGAACCTATTCTGCTTCAATTTGCTTATAAGCGTCATGTTTATTTGTGACTGTTATGTTTTTCCGACTAGCGTAGTTAGCAATTTTATTTTTATTTTTGGACAGCGAGAGCGAGTAGTGCGCTATTTTTAAAACCAATGTTTTTTTTCCGTTACTCCCTTTTATTTGTCCCCATCCTCTCCCTGCATGAGACTAATGTGTTTGAAGGGGTTTGTTGCATGCATGCTTATTCGTAGTTTAGTGTATTAGCGAAATTGTTTTAAGACGCTTCCCATATGATTTCCGGTAAATTTATTTCCGCTAAATAACTATACCAGACCACCTAATTTGATTTGAATAACGCCGCTTCTCGAACCAGAATACTTGATTAACATTATTTTTAGAAAGTCACAATTCCCACACCACACGGTGGAGCTATTAATTTGCCGTTGAGTTTTTAATTTGCCATAAAATCAAACTTTAATGTCTCTCTAGCGAAAATCTGGTGGACTTTTGCCGGTAATGCGTGATTTTTTATAATGGCACATTCTAACAGTATTAATATGGCACTTCCAGGAAATAATTTGAAAAAATGCCGAGCGAGGTACGGTCTCGACCAGCAAAACCAGTGGTGCAAACCTTGCAGGTGGGTCATTAGACATTTCAATTTTATTTTGTCACTCTTTCCGATGATTTTCAATATTGTTTTCGCGAAAACCTCAACTTGTTTATTATTTCAAAGATAATTGTTTCTATGTGGAAAGACTTGGCTTATCTTTTCGTCTTCATATGATATGGCAAGAGGAGCCCAGTCGACAGATGTATTATTTTTTTTTTTTTTCATTTAAGTTTTATTTCGAACATTACCTATGTTGTGATTCAAAAAAATCTGTAGTTGATGTTGTGTTTTATGTTACGAAAGTATCTAAGTTGTCAAAGTATTCCGGGTAACCATGCTCCAAACGGGCCTGGTAGAATACAGTTGCGTGTACGGCGAGGCATAAAAGAATTCAGAAAATGTGTCTTTTCACAAAGAAATAAGTATGATAACAAATGTAGAAAGCACACAGGAATAGATTTTTTTGAAAGTAGACAAAGTGTGGTAGTGATTGAATAGGAATTAGAGAAACATAGATGGGCCAGAGATCGTCAGAGGAAAGGCAATCATTTGTCGAAGAGAACTTTCAAAAAAATCTTGACACATTTTCTGAATTACGCTCGCTGTCACAAAAAAATATGTATACGAACTCCGTCAGATATAACCAAAGAATATTTAGTGTGAAGTTTACAATGTCTATACTTATCGAAATGTTTTTTTCCACTCATGATTGCCGCTTCTCATGGATCGATGCTGGATTCCGCTGGCACTATTGGTAAAATTTTCCGCGTACATTGCCGCAAATTATTAAATCCCCGCACCAAACTCCACTTGACTCGGTATCTTGCGTTCCATTAACAATTTTCCGTTACATTTTCCTTTTTAATTTGTTCTGCCATATTTTTCTTCTTGACTTTCTATTACTAACTTTTAAAAATCGTTTTTGGTTTAAAATAAACAAATTTAATTCCACCTTTTTTAAATGGTCATTATTCCTTTCTACGTTTGTTATTAACTCACTTAACCTTTCACCATGACCCACGAAAATTCATCCTTTCAAATGTCCTTCGCTCTATTTTACTCTTTTTCTAAACTTCCACCACTTTCCGTGTTTGAATATCACGTAACCTTTACCTTGGCTACAAAACTTACTTTGAACGATCTCTTCTGACCTCATTTGCATGCCTCTGTGGTTCGGCTTGCGTTCCCTCGTCCATCCCGTGCGTTTCTCGATTTATTCCTCCTCCACACCGCTCAGCCCCGAGTCAAGTAGCGTTATGGTATCGGGAGGCCTGGGGCTCCTGCGGCCCGAGGCGGCGACCCCACTGCCGCCCGCGAGCCTCGTCGGGAGCCCCCCGCAGGAACCCACTTACGTGAACCTCTAGTGCCGGTCCACCACCGCCGCCGGACCCCCCACGGTCAGTTGGTAGACCTTGTCTAGTGCTGCCGCATGGAGTTGCGTTTAGCTGTGCCCTCTTGATTTGCAGTTGTTTTTTTTTTTTTTGTAACATAGATTAAAAACGCGCAGGCAACCTTTGCGTTGTTGCGTTATTAACACGCCGTTTGTTCGAAGCGTTTCTGTGTGCAGTTGTTTTTGTTCGGTCCGTTATTATCATTTGTTTTAGGTGTCGTGTGCATGAGTATGGTCGGCGTCGTTCTGGACCTGCTAATGTTTGTAGAGCGACGAACGAATATATCAAATAAGCGTTTCAGTTTATGGATTTGTTTGTTTTGTTTTTCTCGTCGGTAAACTTATGTATAATAATGACGAGGTAAAGTTACCGTGCTTCGGATTTGCGATGGTTTGCATACGGGAATGATGATTTAGTCCGAACTAATGTGATCAAACGAAGTTATTTTAATTCACCGGTCTGATAGGAAATTTTGCAAATTTATTGGTAACAAAAGCTGGTCCACTAAGACGTCGACATGTTTACCACCCAAAGTTCAAAATTGGGTAGTTTTTGTGAGCTTTCGTTGTTTTTTCTGTACACTAAGGGAAGAAAGTTGACAGACGAATGAGTACATGCGAAAAGTTATTAAGTAGATAATTTACGTCTCATTACGCTGAATGTTTGAGCTTCTTTCTGAGTTGTCAATGTGTAAAACGTCGTAGAATTGTTATATTATTTTTTGTTCTTAATATTAATATACGTTTTGTTTGTTTCGTGAAACGTTACGCCAACTGATCCAATGCAATTTAGCGTCGCATGGGTGTTCCTTTTATTTTGCGGTAATTTCTCTTCAGTGTTGCAGTGCTGTTATTTTTTTTATTTGTAACAATTTCGGCATGTTTAGTTTTAACAATTGTAACATTTCTATTTAATAGGACGCGAGCTTCGGTCGCTTTGTTTTTGTTACCACGAAATATTTACAATACAATTAATGCTATCGTCTATTAATATCTATTTAAAATATGTCTTTATATGTCTATTTAAAAGTGTCAATGATGTCATTGAATCTTGAACAACGTATAGCCATAAACAAACAGTTTCTTCTTATGATCATCTGTGATAATCTTCACGGTATCCACGGTCACGGTATGAACTGAATAGTTTGACGTCCTAATATCATAGTTAAAGAAAGACATTTTTCTAGAGTTTCGGTTATTAATTATGATCGGATTCGCGACATCCTAACGTCGTAGCTGATTAGGTTTCTCGTCTTTTCGACTATTCATATAACGCGGAGTCTTAATGTGATATTTGAGCCGAGTCCCTTTTCTATCATCCAATCGCTTCGAACGCAAAAGTGCATACCAGTAGACGCAGCATGCACTGCCATTCGACATCAGCTCGGCTGCCGCAAAACAATGAACCGAGACGCCCCTCACATGCGACCGCTCGCGTTGCAGGCGGAAGAAGAAGTGCGTGCGCTACATGGAGGCGCTGGCGGCGGCGGGGGGCAACGCGCCCACCGCCCCCGCCACCCCGCACTCGGCGTGCTCCGACGAGGACGTTAAGCTCGAGGACATGTCGGACGCGTCCAGCGACGGCGAGGCGGACACGCCGCTCAACTCGGCCTCCAGCCCGGGCGGGCTGAGCGCGCTCTCGTCGCTCGCCTCGCCCGCCTCCGACCCGCCGCCCAACCCGCCGCGCCACCCCGTCGGCACGAACCCGCGCGACGCCAACAACCCGCTCTCCGTGGGGCAGCTCACCTCGCAGACGTGGCCGCGCGCCGCGCCCCGCCCCGGCCACGAGGCGATATCCGTCTCGTAGGGGCGGCGCCCGCGGGGCGACGGCGCGGCGCTTTTGTGCAGGTACGGTGTGACGGCGGCCGTCGGCGGACGCCCGGTGCCGTGGGCGCTGTGGGTGCGGTGTGACGGGGGCCCGTGGACGTGACGGCCGTTTGGTTGTTTGGCCGCGACCGGGACCGGCCGACCGTGACCCTCGCTTACCTTTACGATACGGACAATTTGTTATTACCGCATCAGTGTGCCGTTCGTCCCGTCTGCGAAGTAGCGAATTGTCACTCCGGAAATTTCGCGCTCCGTAATCGCCCTTAACACCTGTGGATCCGTTCGAAACTCCGGTGAGACAATTCGCCTTGCGCGGACGGCGACATCTGTCGGCAGATTAATGCAAAAGCAGGGAATTGGGCCACGCCATCTAGCGGCCGTGCAGTGAACTCAGTTGTGTTGGTTGTGACATGACGAGGTATCTAACGAGAACTGTAGAAACTTCGAGGACGTTGTGATTACAAGTTCATATTTTTTTTTCATCGGGTGCTAAATAACACGGGTTTGTCTATATGACATTTGGGAATATCGGTATTTTGCGAGCAGTGCATTTTTTTAAAACATTGACGCTTGAGTTTATACACCGTAGACAAGGTTGTCTTTTTTTTTTAGTTTTACGGCAGTTCCGAAAGGCCTAAATATTATTTTTCACCGTAAGTACGATATTTCCACGCGTCATATTACACTGATATGTACTTGAAAAAGCTTGTAAGTAATTCACGTCTATTTTAAAAACTCATCGAAGTGATTTACCTAAAATGTTATATTTAATGTACAATTTTTGTCCCCATTTTCAGTCACTAACAATGATCTCAAATGTTGCCTAACCCAGTCATTTTTTGCATTTCGTCCACCAGACTTCGGTTTCCAATGATTGTTGTGCCATTCCCCCTACTCATTACTATAGTCTGCTATTAAGATTAATAGCACGTTGACTCTGACGTTATATAGCTTAACAGTTATAGTATTGTACATTACAAAATAACAACAAATGGCAATACTGAAAAACACATAAAAACTAAGAACACTATTCATATCATTTGTCTGTCATAAATTTCACTTCCTAAAAATCTCATAACCCTTTCACTGTAACTGTTAAACTATATAAAACGTCAGTATACAATAACCATAAAGTTTAATGGAAGTTTTGGACATTGTTACACCATTTGTTTCTCAGAATGTTATCCCTGAGAATATGTTTACATACCCACCCTAGTTCTTAAAATGTATGGACAGGTGTGTTAATTGACTACCGTTTACTTCATAACCAATCTAGAAGTTAGAACAATTGAGCAATTTAGTTTATATATGCAATATTATTTTGAAACAACATTGGATAACATCATTAGTTTTTAAAAGTTGCTGTAAAAGATGAATATAACCATGCATTTTAACAATTAACATGCTTGATACATACACTGGAAGTGAAAAGGAATACCTAATTATTACTACAAATAACACAGTAACGTTATGCTAAACACATTTAACATTCAAGAGACGCTGTCTAAGAAAAAGATGTTTGTTCTTAATGAAATTTGTTTTACACATGTGTACCTATTAGTCAAAGGGAATGAACATTAGTGCTGGCGAAATTCGCCTCTATTGCTCTCTCAAAACGTTAACATTTCAAACATTATCCTACGAAACGGCTTGCACCAGTTAATGGTTCCATGTAGCATTAAATAATTTGGAAGTTTAGTTTTTAAAAGAAACTCCCTTAGGGTCAAAACATGTGTATAGCGTAAACATTAAGGCGGCCCTAAGGGACAACTGTTTTTTCCGTTGTGCGGAATTGTTAGACTGTCGTAGAATAGATTAGGCACGTTGTATGAGTGACAAAAATATTTAATATCATGCTGTGAACATTGCCTTTTTTTGATCTGTTTTATCAAATTTTTTAAGACTTCAACATATTGTGGAATTATTTATTTTTCATCTGATTCGAGATGCATTAATGTCTTAAAATTGTGATTTAGATGATTTTTATGACTGAGCATAAAAAATTTAAAATGATTAAATGCGACATTATATAGGATGAACATTTTGACAAAAGGAATACTTATTAAATCATAATCCAAATAATTTTACATATGTAGTGATAGAATAAATCTAATGATTTCAAAATGGTTTTAAAATTATTGAATTGGATTTGAAGACAATGTTTAATATGATTTGTAGCATGAATGTTTTTGGAATTTCAAAAGGCAATGTTCACAGAATACTCTGTATATGTGTAAGTACACACAGGAGTGGTGTAAATGTATAAAACATAGGTCTTAATCCAACTGTGTCATAATAGATGATAAGTGTACTATTCTACTTACCTATATATACACTATTGCTATATGAAAAGAAGTTTAAAGAAAAAAATATTAGTTGAGTACCGACTACCTAATGAAACAGAAAGTGTCACTTATTACAAGTACAGCTATGTTGTCTCCCCAAAGCCGGGACTAGGAGCTTGTAAATATATTCATGAATAATTAGAACAGTTTTTGGTATTAAAAACATTGCATTTATTATTGTAATTATTATATATATATATATATATATATATATTAAAAAAAACTTAAATAGCACACTCGGAATGTTCTCGGATTGTCTGTTTTGTCCAACACTTCTTTTTGTTAATTACTATTTTTTTAATTGTTATTATTAAGATTTTTAACGTTGTTAAATGCAATACTGAGCCCGTGACTACGCTAATTGTGCTTTCGATTTTGGATTTGATTATGGAATAAATTTCTATGAAACAAGTGACAACAGTTGCGCATTAATCATTTTTATAAAGTGACAAAACATGTTGAATATCGGACATCTATCATTGGCATGATTTTGCATGATATGATCCTGTGCAATATTGATCGTATAGTTTTCGAAGTATATAAATTTTTCTTTTCCTTTGTATTGAATAATGTTTTAAGGACTTTCTGGGAATTCATGGAAATTATTATATGGAGTTGTTTGATTTCAAGTAGGACAAGAGAAAAAGGAATTATTTTTATTTTTCGTCTCACTCTGCGGCAATCTGTTTAGGGAACGCGTGCCAAAAAGCATATAGAACTGAATGCATAACGTCAGGGATTAATTAACGAATGGACAGTAAACAATTAATTATACATACATATATATGTCAGTGCCAAATTTAACTGTAAAAACTGTGTGGGTATATACAATGCCTGATACCTCTGAAAGGTCTTTTATGTTGATAGATTTTATAGGTTGTTTTTATTGTTAAGGAGGCAAAGACAGACGGCTCCTGCGTCGAGTCGGTTATGTTTTTCTTTTGTAGGGAAAATTTTTGTCAAATTAGAAAACTCAATTATTAGGCCTGGACCCATGTCTTGTGTTCAGTTGAAGGAATATTATTTTAATAAACAACTCAAAAATTGTATGCGTGTCTTTTTTATTGTTTCCCTGCTCACCGGAACTATTTTATTATATTTGATACTTGCAATAAGTTAATGGAGCTCTATAATTTTTATTAACTTATAAAATATAAATCGAAGAAACATGCAATTATATATATCTATAATTTCATGTCTTTCATTATATATATATATATATTTCATGTCTTTCTTTACCCGTAACACGACATATTACATCTTATTTGTTATACAGCGTGTCGTTACCATCGCGACAATAAATGAACACACGTCTAACGCTACTTGCCAATAATCATAAAAAAATATTAACGTTAAACAAAATCCATAATTAAAAAATATTTTTTTTTCAAACAAACTAAGTAAAAAAGAAACAAAATTTGTAACATCCTATACAACTCGCGCCACAGCGTCGTATTACAAGCCTCTCCTTCTAACAGTATTTTTTTTTTAAATTCATTAACCCATTCATATGCTTTGTGACCTTTACAAAAACTTTACGTTACGCTTTTATAGGTAAGGGTTGTGTTCTAAAATTCTTTGGTTTGGAAAATTTAATAACTCTGTAAATATTGATGATTAAAGAATTTAAATGTTTAATACAACTTTAAAAAGTTATCCCCTATATATGTGTTCATTTATTGTCGCGATGGTAACGACACGCTGTATACACCTTTCGTATGGGCGTGCACTCCATACATGCAAAAAAAGTTTTGCATACCTTGTCGTTCCATACAAACATTCCCCAAAACACAAACCAACGAGTTTTAGTAAAGTTATCACTTTTTTGAGCTAAAGAAAACAAACTTTGCATTTCATAACCTTTTCAATGGCCACTTCGGTTGTCATTTAAGTGATCTGTTTTATTATCATCAATCACTTAGATAAATTGGTAAGTTTTTTTAGTGTATACCATGTATGAAATATCTGTACACAATACGGGCACCGTAGAGGAGTATCGATCGCACGAACCTTACATAGAGGCCGCTCTCCTTCCGTAGGCTCCGAGATTAGTCAGCAGTCTGTGCGTAGTATCCATCAACCCTCTCGATTCGAGCCAGGCGAGTGCTCTTCGTAGCCCCAGCGGGTATCCAAAATTACCAAGATTTTATCACTGCTCCCATCTGAAACTGCACGTGTAGCTCCCAAGCCAAATCGACCGTGGTTGGATGGTACCTTGCCATAGATAATCGATCTTTGGTGACGCAAGCCACCCCAGGCTTCGCGACATTAGTGCCCTCAAAGCCATTCCCTTCGGCAAGTATGAGAGTGTCAACTGATAACAAATGGCAAAACCGTTTCATAAGCTAGGTTGCAAAGTAATGGTACAAACATGGAGCCTTGTGGAACGCCGCAGTTCACCTCCCTCTGGTAAAAAAGATGTTAACCAAAAATTTCAAGGGAGAAATGAAAAGCGCTCAATGATTACATTGTTTATTTTGTGACAATGCATAATAAAGAACAAACATACGGAAATGGTCTAAAACATTGTAAAATTGGTGAAGCGGCTCAAAGACCAGTAAAGGCTAAGCGAATAATTATGATTGCCATACGAGGTTTGTACTGAATTTACGTTTCTACGTTTAAACACAACGATTTCAAAATTATCTAAATGATGCAGAAAGAGAAATTTATTTGTAACTTTCAGTCGCGTCAATTTGTAAGTCAGTATAAAATTATTGCGTTTGTTCTCGTTTGCATTTTATTGGAATAATAATATTATTCGCCGTTAATGAATTTTTTTGATAAAATGTTAGCCAAAAGGTTCTTTTTTGTTGTAATACAGAATTTTCATTATTTAGAATTGAATACGAGTAAAAATTGGATCAATAAAAACCGAAATATAGTAATTTATAACATAATAGTACTAAAACCTGATCTAAAATATTAGAAACAGATGGTCAGTTACGACTAGGAATTATTAAAATATTTAAAACTGGTTTAAAATAAACAGATTAGTCACATTACACTATAATACTTATTAAGCAAGGAAAAACAACTACAATAAATGTTCTTCCTTTTAACGTTAATATAAGTGCAAGGCAGGTTAAAACGTACATTATCCATATTTTCTGATTCTGATCGAAACTATAATTTGCGGTGCACAAACAACTGCAATGAGGGAACTAGAAAAGAAAGCAACAATTCGCGCCACGTAAATATGGCCACAGATTAAACAATATAAAGATAACATTAAGTATTAAACAGATTATAACGGAGACACCAATGCTTTGTCACGAAATATAGGATTACTAAACTTTTTTTTACCATAGTTTCTTTTTTAATTCTTTTTGTCACATTTCTTTGTTTGGCCAACATACGGAAGTTGAGTAGAAAATTACAATAGTACATCCTACATGTGCACTAAAATCTATTTCCTGGTTTTTATAATTATGTAAAAAGAATTTGTATAATTATGTAATATGTATGTTAAACACTTTAAATGACCCGATATAAATGCATATTTTGTAAAAATTGGATTTAAATGACAATAAAGACAGAAAACAAACTTTCGATTTATTATCATCATTAATTTTAAGGTTTTATTTACCTAAGTAACAGCTTTCGAACTGGGAAAATATAAAGTAGGTAAATTATACTCCTTCATATAAAAAAACAATCACATGTGAGACATAATTTTATACCAAATCAATAATTACGTACATAACGAATTGAACACTAGTCGAAAATCTATTTATTTTCTAATTACAACACCACAACATACAAAACATTGGTTCCACACAAACATCACATTGCGTATGTAACAAATTATCAGCTATTATAACTATATCCTGCTATATAAGTCAACTGTTATAATGATTTCTAAAAAATCAGCCTATCAAATCGAATAAATAATGCCTTACAACTAGAATTTTCATGTCATGCACTAAACAGTAAGCAGTCAAAAATACCAGACCTCCATTCAAAACCTCATCGAATCTATCAAAAGTGAGAAATAATCTAAAATACGACCGGTACAAAAGTGCAAGTTGCGTGTAAATTTTTCACAGACTGTATAAGGGTTTGTTTATGCTATATGGAGGGTAGTGATAAGATGTAGTATTTAGATGCATCGATAGTGTAGTATATATATTAAGATGGCGTTACTGCAGCATAGTTCTACATTTCAGGAAAGTGCCAAAAATTGTTAGAGCTTTCGATTAACTACGCCATTAATTGATTTAGGTCTTACTCTTATGTTATATTAGCGCCATTCTGGTAGGCATTTAGGTGGGCACTGTTTCAATAAAAGCACATGAGATACTACTCCTTATCGCTACCCTCCTCAGTATGCTACTGTATATAACAGAGTAAATATTCTAATAATTGGTACTCGACGCGCTCTAAGCTCTGACTCAAAATCAACTTTACCTTTATGAAAAAATGTTCCCTTATGGCTCGTAACAATATTATAACCACATATAGGCATAACATCGTAAAATTAAGACCACATATGGACCTAACATAGTAAAATGGTTATCGAGCTACACACAATTGTATTCATTCCTTAAGTAAACGAGGAACGATAAATATTCGGATACAAAATTGTATATATTATCATATGCTTATGTTTCAAAACGTATAGTGTTAACATTAGAGAACTTAAAAAAAAATTTGGCTTCGTTTTTAATATCCGATACATTTTTTCACAAGCTAAAGCTCCCAGCGCTGTCGTGAGGCTTCTCACGTTCCCAAGCCACTTTCGGCCGGACGCTACTGGCCCAAACCGGTTCTGACCGGTCTCTACCAGAGGCCGGAGGATTTGCCTCCCGGCGGGTTCCGTACACGCACAGATGTTTTGGTGTCAGCGCCCTCCATTTCCTCTGCAATTAAGAAAATGTGCAATGTTTAGGATTTTTTTAACGTTCATCATTCATCATCATCATCATTTCAGCCTGTTTGAGTCCACTGCTGAACATAGGCCTCCCCCACAGACTGCCATGAAGCACGATCCTGAGCCACCTGCATCCATCGACTTCCCGCACATTTGCACGTTTTTTTAACGTTCAATCCTGGGTATTCCAAGGTATTGGTATAACAAGGGATCCTAAAAATATTTACATAACATGCCTTTTAGTGTGAATTTTATAATCACAAATTGTGAAGAACTTCTGGTATACAATTAGCGAAGTGAACAGTGAATCTGTCTTTTGCACCAGGTCTTTTGAGGCAGTAAGTTCGATGCAATATTTATCCAGTAATAAATAATACATAATAAAGAGGTTTATAGTGTCTGGATGTTTACATAATCGTAACATTTATGAATTTACAAAGAAAAAAGTTTAATGTATATATATCAACTACCTATAGAGCAAGGGTGACTTAATAGCTATATCCAAGTTGTTCGAAAGTGTGTGCAGAAATATTTAATTTAATAGGTGATAAGGGTGGTCCACCGCAAACATTTTTTCCTACCCTACCAATAATTAATACCGCAAAACAACGTTCAGTTCAGCTAGTAACTATATACTATACTAACTGCTGAGGGAGAAAGTGGAGTTCTGGAGGTCCCTCTGTCCCGGCTCTCGCATCTTCCTCCCGGTAGGGGTGCTGCAGCCCGAAGAGAGGGCGGTGCCAGCCATCTGCTTGCTCACTATGTTCAGTTCTGCAACGAAAAGTCGTGTTCTTGGTCAATTTGACCACGATTTACCGCCGCTATAGCCACTAATCGGTATTCAAAGAATTATCAAATATTGCATCGATAGATTTTCTACAATTTATCCACACTAAGTTTCATTTTATGTGTTAGACGAGCTCTGAAAATAAAATTAAGTCACGATAGAAATTTGGCCATCAACTGGTAATAAAAAACGGTTAATTATTAAGATTACAGTTTTCATCTGTTAAAAGCTGTAAAGAATCGAATAGCATGTTTTCGAAATAATAAAAAAAAAACACTTTTTCGACCATAACTGCCAATCCGCAGTGAATTCGTGGAATCAGAGGATTTTGCTTAGCAGTGGGACATATATAGGCTGTTACTTACATACTTTACTTACAAAAAACTGTTTCATTTGTCTGTATAAAGATCTTTTCAAACATACTTTGATTAGTAGAAATCGTTTCTGCAAGAAACACTAGGTTCAACTATCACTTTACTTTTAATTTAATCTTAAGTGGTGTATACCATTGGTGGGCGTGCCATTAGTGACCCTGGACGGAGACTCCGGCATCGGGGAGCTCGGGTAGGGCTCCGGCGTTTGCGGCATCGGGGCTTCGCCCCCATACACGTAGGGGCTGAACACCGGCGTCTTCAGGAACTTGCCGTAGCCTATAAAGTTATCAAGACCAATATTTTAGTTTAATTTAGAGGTTGTATGTTTTATTATATTACGTATTTTTATTCTATTTACCAAATAAAGATCAAATGACTTGTAAACTTAGCAGCTAGGTACCCTGGGTTAATAGAGTGCTAATGAATCTTATTAATCTTATTGATAATTATTAAATAACAAAACAATAAAGCAATTAAGTTCAAATTACTGATAAATAAAAAGAGTTTAAATTTGTATTTAATTTACAAAAAATTTGCAAAGCATATCTAGCTTCTATGTTTACATTACATGACGTTATTTTAAAGATCGGTTAGGCAAGTTTATTAGCTTTGGAATAATATAACTAATAGGATAAAACTTTGCAAATGTACGAATTAAATGCTAAGTTAAGAGAAGATTAAGAACTTATCACGTGATATACTCCACACACGTAATTTCTTAATTGTCTTGGCCGAAAAAAGGGTAACGTGTCATGACACTATTGCAATAGTATGTTGTGTATTAATGCAGTATAGATATATTTATTATAGGTGTGAATTGATAATAAATTGTTTATTTACATTAAAAAAAGATATCTCTTCGTTTATTAATTTAGATATCAAAGGTTAATTTAATTCGTTGTGTCAGATACTAAGAAACTATACCGCGAAAGGATCTATGTTCTAATAAGGCTTTTCATATTGAAATCATAGTTATGATGTCCATATCATATACAGCGTGTCGTTAGCATCGCGACAATAAATGAACACACGTCTAACACTACTCGCCAATAATCATAAAAAAATATTAACGTTAAACAAAATCAAAAAAATAAAAAAAGATATTTTTCAAACAAACTAATTAAGTAAAAAAGAAACAAAATTTGTAACATCATATACAACTCGCGCCACAGCGTCGCATTACAAGCCTCTCCTTCTAACAGTATGTTTTGTCTCTTTTAAATTCATTCAACCCATTCATATGCTTTGTGACCTTTACAAATGAACTTTACGTTACACTTTTATACGTAAGGGTGTTCTAAAATTGTTTGTTTCGGAAAATTTTAAAAATTCGGTAAATATTGATGTTTGAAGAATGTAAATGTTTAATACAATTTTAAAAATTTATCCTCTATACGTGTGTTCATCTATTGTCGCGTTGGTAACGACACGCTGTATACCATATCATACTTACGATATATGTGGTGTCGATTTGGATACAAAAAAGGAGATATGGATGATGGCGAGGTGATGGAGTATGGAAGATTACCTTCGGCGACTCTAAGATCCCCATCGTCGAGACAGACGCGCCCGTTGACAATCACGTATTGAGGGCTGCCAACCACGCTTTGGCCCTGCAAGCGATTTAATCCGTTAAACAAATGCATGCTTTATATCTATTGTATATAGAGTCTAAAACGGGGTAACTATTTGCATAGTTATCGCCTTGATCCGTTAAAAGTATGCTTTATGTTTATAAGTGAAATTACTTAGGTATCAAGAAACGAAGTAAGCTTGGCAAGAATATGTGTATTGAAAGATTTTATCATATTTCTTGTCTAGCATATAATGAAGTTTGGCGCAGCTGCTAAGCGTTAATTTTAAATACATTATTTACACCACAATATTAAAAGTATTTTTTCATTAATTGGTTTGGGTCTTTTTATTGTTACAGCTACATAACACATGCATTACGTATATGTTGCAGAAACTGAGGCGATAGGCTGGGTCTGAAAATAGCATTAGTAAGCCTTTTCGCCAGGTGCCGATGTAAATAACAAGTTATCTTGTCTATTGACTATGATAATTGATGAATAAATTTCTTACTATTTATTACCAGAGCCTTGAAAACTCCGGGCGGTCACTTTTAATTTGGAATACTCGAGGCACCAGAGTTCATATCCCGGTGCCGGCAACAATGAAGTTGTTAATTACAATTTTAAGTGCTGAATTTTCACGCGCGCGACTGACTTCGGCGTTTCATAAGAACGCGTAAGCGTCTATGTGAATAAAAGTATTTCAGTTTGAATACAATAAACAAAAGAGTATGAAGGTAAACATCTTAAAAGAAGGCAAAGCGTATTTTCGAAACAATATAAAATAAAGTTTTCGAAGTTGCGCCAAGTCCGCCACCGCCACCGTGGTGGACTTTGCCCTACCTACATGTGGCGTTTGCCCACTAGTGAGGCACATACAGGCTGTCACATCACCGCAAGTCGTGGTGGACTACGCCCTAAACGCTGTATGCAGAAGCGAGGCGCATACGGGGTGTGACGTCGGTTTGCCGGTCGCGCTAAGCCCGTCGCCCACCTCGAATATGTTGAAGTCCAGGGCGTGGTGGTGGTTGGCGGCGGAGACGGTGCGCTGCAGCCGCGGGTCCCACACGACGAGGTCCGCGTCGGAGCCCACCGCCACGCGGCCCTTGCGCGGCCACAGCGCGAACACGCGCGCCGCGCACGCGCTCGTCGCCGCCACGAAGCGGCACGGGTCCAGCGCGCCTGCGCGACACACTCGTCAGCTCTGGCGCGACAGGCTCGTCGGTACGTGACAAACTCGTCAGCAAACAAAGCGACAGGTTAAGTTGCGGTGCGGCAAGCTCGTCAGCATCGCCAGCGACCGGCTCGTCGACATGGATCGCGGCAGGCTGGTTGGCGTAGAACGCGATGGTCTCTTCAACATGGATCGTGACGCGCTCGTCGAGCGCAACAGGTACACAAACTTAAAGCGCGATAGGCCCTTCAAAATACAACGCGGCGGACTCGTCACCTTCGGCGGACTTGTCACCTTCGAGGGCTCGCCGACGTGGAACGTGACAGGCTCGTCATCCACTAACGCAACGGACTCTTCGACATCGATTGCGACGGGATCCTCGGCGTGGAACGTGACAGACTCGTCAAATTGGAGCGCTAATGGCTCGTCAGCTTGAAGCGCGACAGGCTCGTCACCAATGAATAACGTGAATGACGCGTCAGCGAAGAACGCGACAGGCTCGTCTATATGGATTGTTTAAAGGCTCGTCAGCATAGAACGCGACAGGTTGTCAAACTTAAAGCGTGATAGACTTGTCAACTGAGAGCGCGACAGGCTAGTCAATATACAGCGTGGCAGGCACGTCAACAACGAGCGCGACAGACTCGTCACCGGCGCCAGTCATGACATGCACCAGGAAAGTATATTAGTTCGAACAAAGACACAACGTTATTACTGACAAAAGAAAAATGTCCCGCTGAGTTTCTTTCGCAGGTATACGGGCAGTATAAGTCAGGTACTAATAACTTATAAACATAATTTCTTTTTTTATATTATACGTTGAGGATGCGTTGCAAACATTGAAAAAGTGGACACCGGCTATCTTACCATTTTTACTAGTATTACAATTATAAATAATCGGCTCACGAATTTTAATAGGGCGGGATATGTGTTACGCGTGACGTCGCACCTGTATTGACTCCCCTCTGCCAAAGTATGGCCATGCGCTCCTCGACACCGTTGACTCCGTTCGGTATTTTGGTGAAGTCCCCCTGGCCCAATGCCTTATCCTTCTCGTGGAACGTGCAGTGATCGCTGCCCACCAGCTGCAGACAGTCGCTGCAAGTCGAGAAGTCGATAGAAGTTACTTCGATACTGAACGAACTAAACTGAAGTAAAATCAAGGCGAGTTCGGCACACGTCGGTGCCAAAGTGATGACTCCGTGGTGCCAAGGCAACTGGCTTCAGCGCCGGAGGTCGTGGGTTCGATTCCCACGCGGGACAACTGTGTGGTCGACAGACAATTGTTTCGGATCTGATTATGGAACGGGTAAGGTAGTAAAGTCCTAACGACCACTGCAGCCTAGAACATCTATTGTAGTCTGGATAGTCCCACCCCCCCAACCTAGGTGGGAAAGAAGCAGGAGAAAGAAGAATACTCACTTGGCTAGTGCATCGACCATGGCCTGAGGAGTGTTGGGGTCGGAGCGCAGAGGCGGCGACATCACGTGGCCTGCCGCGTGACGGAAACACGCATTCCTACAGTGAGACCCTGCAAAGGTAATAAGGAAATAAAGTTTTAACTCGATTTTGATATGTGTTGCGACTGTCGATAACGGAACGAAACTGTTTTATATTTTTAAATTACTGACATTTAAAAAAATGTAATTTAATTACATTTTTAAATGTGGTTTCATTTCTGTGCTTATTAATCATTCCATTTGCTTTCGTCTGTGTATGCTGTGGTCAGCAGGAACGCATAGTAGACTTGATAAACGCGTGTTGGTATTTATTTATAAAGAAATATTAATTTAGTATTTATTGAAACGTCGTTACAAGTAACTAAACTTGAATCTAATGAGAATGAACTTGAATGAAAACAACAACGCATTTAAAAATGGATAATTGAAAAAGTCCCAATGAATTACAATTACTTTAGAAATAAATATTAAGAAATAAAATAATTGTAATTCATCGGAATAAATCAATTCAAACTACAACAACATCTACTCTAATGACTGGGCAACAAGGTTGTTCATTAGCAAGGAAATTGAATAGCAAATATTGGAACATCGACTCTAAAAACGGGGCGATAAGGTTGCTTTTACCATCGGTGCCGACGGTGGCGGCGAGCGTCTCCGCGTACACGGGCTGGCGTTGGCGGGCGCGCGCAAAGTCGAGCGCGCGCAGCGCTTCGCGGGACATCACGTGAACGATGTACAGCGGCGCGTTGGCCTGGAACGAGGGAACGAACGATGGAACGAATGACGGAACGAATGACGGAACGAACGAATGGAACGTAACCGGCTCTAGAGCGAGCTCGGTTCCGAATGTTTAACTCGCGGCGATATTGTTTTCCATTCGCGCAAGGGTTGAAGTTTCGAATTTATTACGAATGAACGATTGATACCCTTGTTTTGAGTAGAATGCATTCAGTTGTTCTTCTCCGCAGCCTAAAGTTAAACTTTTAAAAGATAGATATTGGTATTGGCCTGAAACGAATGTATGAGTAATAAAACGAAAGATGTACCAAAGGAATGAACCAACATATCGCGGCTAAAGTTCAGTTTCGAACATTTCATTTTTGGTGATTTTGTCTTCCATTTTCGTACCGGATGAAGTTTTTAATTTGTTCCGAATGAACGATCGATTTGCTTATTTCGAAAAGACTGGGGATTCAATTGTTCTCATTCGCAGCAGACAGCTAAACTTTTGTGCGTATTGTAAGATAAATATTGCCATATGGCTTAAGAAAACTCTTTTACAATTGCCTTGAATCTATTCTCCATCACAAACGGAAGCGGATTGGATAGTGTGGAACAGAAGTGGATTTTCCGTCTCAATGGCAGGAAGAAAGGCAAAAAAATATTTTCAAACAGGTCTTCTGATTTGATTCAAAATCCATCTTCCATTCATCAGTACTTCCTTGGCCCAAAAAAAAAACAAAAATAGTAGGAAAAGCTCACCTGGTTGGCGATTACACAGGCCCTGTTAACCGCCTCCGCCTCGACCTCTTCGTCCCGCGACAGCTCGTGCCCTTCAGGGTCCGTCTTTCCGGCTGCTAGAAGCTTCTCGACGTTGCGGGCGATAATGTCGCCGTTTTCCGCGTGCACCTATCGTGGGAATAATGTAATGGTAAATTATATGAGCATCGATAAATGTCAGAAGTGCGGCATTCATTGTGTTCCATTCCTCGATGTTGTCTACTTATATCTACTATATATACATTATATTATAGATTATTACATTATATTATATATTTATAAATTATTTTTAACGTATATATTTATATATGATGTTTGCATGTGTATTTATGTATAATTTATTAATATGTATTTATATTTTAACTTATTAGTTTCTGTTATTAATTCAGTGTACACCGTTACCCGATGCTACTGTTTTTACTATCTCCTTTTACTAGGTTGCCTGGAAGAAATCGCTTTTTAGCGATAAGGCCACCTATTGTACAGTTTTGTGTTATTTTTTGTTGATTATGCAATATCCGTTGTTTGTGTACAATAAAGTATATTTAATTCATTCATTACAAACGTAACCGAGCACCTATTCTAGTAACGAATTTTTTTTTAATGCGAGAAAGTGGCGAACAAGCCGGCGGTTCACCTGATCTTAAGTGATGACTGCCGCCCATGGACATTCGCAACTCACGTAGGGTTGCAAACGCGTTGCCCCCTTTAAATAAAGTGGGCTCCGGCTACCTCACTCAACAGACGAATCGCATACTACAACACTTCCACTTTACGCCGATCTTCTGTGAGGTCGTGGTACTTACCCGGACGTCTATTCTTGCAACAGTGTTGCTACGGTGGTAGGGCCACGCAACACTATAAATATTAACTATACTATATATATAAATCGAATATTTTCTGGCATTATATTGATAATATTACAGTAGGTTTGTATCAACTTGAAAATAGGAGTTTAAGTACATAATTTAGATATTTTGATAAACAAAACGTTTAACACTGTTTATTGTAGTTCTATTAGCGATGTAAAAAATTACGATTTACGTAATATTGAATTCACGGCATGTGTTGCATTGACCCTTATCTTTTAAGCCTCAGTGCAACACCGATAACCAGTATAGGAATACCATACTCGATACAGTGTAGTTACATTCATAATCATTCTATAAGTGCCAATGATTAATAAGAAGAATATATAGCATGGGTTTATGTGGTAATAAGTGTGTTGTTAATATAACGAATACTTCAAGGAAGGAAAGAGAGGAAAGGACTTAATAGATAAATTACCTGCGGAAGAGCCCCCAATCGCTTGCAGGTCTCCATTGCGAGGTAGAGATGGTAGTCGTCCAGCATCCAAGCGTCCTTGTATGCCATGAACATCTTGAACGAGTTGATGCCGTACTCTTCGCCGCAGAGTTGCTCCATCTCCCTCTCGACTGAGGGCGACCACCAAGTCACGCCCATATGGAGAGCGTAGTCGCAGCAAACCTGTAACAGAGAACACTCATGTTTAGGTATAGCTATCTCTTTCTGCGGTAGGTTTAGTTAATATCCGACGCGGTAGGGCCACGCGACAGTCTTCGCTGTTGCACGAATGGGCAGGTCCGTCCGGGGATGTACCACGACCTCACAGAAGGCGGGCGTGAAGTGGAAGTGTTATACTTATGCATTTCGTCTGGTGAGTGAGGTAACCGGAGCTCGCTTTATTTAAAGGTGGCAACGCATCTGTAACCCTACGGGTGTTGCAAATGGTGTGCGTGAGGATGCTCCATAAAGGCACATTGAGCTCACTCTGGATGCTCAAGAAGGGTGCGGTGGCCAGTTTGAAGGTGGTAGAGCTGGTGGCCATCTCCATGTACAACCTAGATGGATTCGCGGGCGAGTAGAGTAAGTATTGCGTTTAGCCTCCCCCCTATTACCCGAGTACCTTCCGCTAGTCGACGGGGCAACACCGTTGACGCAGCAGTGGTGGTACCGCAGGGTAGAGGACTTTCGGTATTGCGATAGGCGATAAGTGGATAAATATCAAACGTTTCCTCACCTTATTGTCAGCCTTCTCTCGCCAATTGCTGTAAGCTTCGATCAGGGACTGCCCTCTCTGTGGCAGCACGAAATCGACTGAAATGAAAAAAAGGTTTCATTATCAAAAAAATGTTTCAGGGCACATTTTTACATGACGGTGTTTAGTCCAAAACAAAGCAACGCTTGTCCTATGGGGTACCAGATGACTGATAAATATATTTTTCTTTTTTTAAATAATTACATATTTATTATAAAACATACAAACACTATTTGCATCATCATTATTTTAGCCTGTTCGAATCCACAACTGAAATAGGTCCCCCCCCCCCCCACACACTACGTTCATCACACATTTTTCTAGTAGTGAATGTCGAACCCACACTCTCTGGAGCAAGGGCCAAGTTCATTCATACCCACTACGCCATTTGGGTTTTCGTCAAATTAAACTCCGCTCATTTCGTGTGACAGTTTATTGCGTAAGTTATTATTTGAAAACACATTTACGCTGTTTCAATATCTGCGGTAGTTTTGGTTAGTGCACGAATATGTATGTCATTTCATCAGCAGATTTAACACTGCCTTACTGAAGAAAGAATAATTTATACTTTTGCGTTTCGACTGCTTAATGGGTAACTGGAGATCTATTACTCTTTAACGTTTTAACACTCCTAGTCCCAGGTGTTACGGATATCCGTGATTGGTACCGATCATCTACCATCAGAAATAAAGCTTGCTATGTTCCCTATACAGCGTATCGTTACCATCGCGAGCATAAATGAACACACGTCTAACGCTACTTGCCAATAATCATAAAAAAATATTAACGTTAAACAAAATCCATAATTAAAAAAAATATTTTTCAAACATAGTATTTAAGTAAAAAAGAAACAAAATTTTTAACATCCTATACAACTCGCGCCACAGCGTCGCATTACAAGCCTCTACTTCTAACAGTATGTTATGTCTCTTTAAAAATCATTCAACCCATTCATATGCTTTGTGACCTTTACAAATGAACTTTACGTTACAGTTTTATATATTGTAAGGATGTTCTAAAATTGTTTGTTTTGGAAAATATTATAAGTCGGTAAATATTGATGTTTGTAGAATGTAAATGTTTAATACAATTTTAAAAAGTTATCCTCTATATGTGTGTTCATTTATTGTCGCGGTGGTAACGACACGCTGTATATATTCATAAATATATAAATATATTCACTAATTTGACAATAACCTGGAGCTTCTGTGCAGTTAAACTTATGTGTTATAACGCGTTATTCTTCAATACAAAGGTTAATGCTGTAGTATGAACAACTTTAAAACAAGTTGTTCTTACCTTGTCTCTTTCTATATATCGTGATATTGCGGGCGTAAAGTACAATGGACTCTACTATGAACCTCCGTTTTAATAGAAAAGGAATTGACATACTCATCCATCTACAAAGTCGCTTATTACAGACAAGTTCAGATGCAAAGGTAACAGTTATTTGCTACAAAAATACTCTCTACGAGTACTATTGGTTAATATTGTCATTAAGAATATTTTAGTTTTGACTTTAATTCAGACCCAGGACTCATGCTTTAAAACATGTATGGTTTCGTGTACAAGTGAATATATACAGTATCAAAAATATCCCAACAAATCGGTTGCCAATGAATACCGTCCGGAACGAGAACGGCATTCAAGAATCCAAGGCCGCTCTTTGTATGGCACCATACGTCCTGATGGCTCTTTGATGGATAACTCCGAGCCTTTTAAGTGGGCCACACGTTTATTTGGTTCGCATATTGACCTTGGCGCCCAACAATGACCCTACAAACCGACCTTGAACCATCCCATAACAAATGTTACCAACTCAAGAGATGTGAAAAGTTTAAATGCTATATTATCTTCTTACGGAATTAAAATATATAGGATTAGAATAAGAAAAACACTCAGGCGTTAACGGCCGGTTTGTAAATTTAATCTATCTGCAGATTTGGTTACTGTAGATAGAAATTCAACGTCAGAATTATGGAGCTAATGTCAAATACCTATCACTAGTAATCAAATCTAAAAACAGATAGAATATTAAAACCTTTACGGACAAATCTATTAATGTAAACAAAGCTAGTCGGTGTTATGAATGTCGCCAAATAAGTGACACAAAACGTTATAGTTGACTGAAGATCGGGTTTGAACATGAAACAGTCAAACCTGCGCGTGAGTAAACAGAAAAACGCTAAACGATGGTACTCAGAACCTTCGACCATGGCAAACAAAAAAAACAAAGAAGTGACTTAACCATCTCTCGCGAACGGTGTCCAGTGCAAATTGGACTTTTTGAAATCTATAATTATAATTAGTGAAATGTTCCTACAAGCAGTTTAGTTACAAATAGAACTAAAGAACTCTAAACTTATGAACTGGTTGCAGATTTAAACGATCTTAACACCTTGAACGGGGCGAAATTACAGACAAGATTAATAATTTGAACTTGAAAGATATACTCACTGATGGTGGTGGTGCCGCCGGCTACTGCGGCCTTTGTCCCGGTGTAAAAGTCGTCTGCTGTCTTCGCTCCCATCATCTCTAGGTCCAGGTGGGTGTGGGGATCGATGCCGCCCGGCATCACCAGCTTTCCAGTAGCGTCGATCACCCTTGTACCACCGGGGATGATGAGGTTGCGACCCATTTGCCTGGGGGCGAGCGAGACATTGAAACGGATAGTCATAGCGGCCTTCCATATATATCTTCCTAGATGTAATTTACTAAAGAGATGGCAACGGAACAAATTCATTATGTAGTAACGAACTTTCACTCGCGACCCCGTCTAAATAGTTTATGAAATGAAACGGTCAGTTTTTACAACCTTAATTGAATATTATTCCAGCGTATGTATCTTATTATACATCCACATATAATATATAAGCGATAGCATTTCTGAATATTAATAATATCTTTTCAGCCGTTGCGACGCGAAGAGAGAACAGACAGACAAACTTTCTTATTCATAATATAATTGCACTTCAACATCATTGATATTTTCTATGTTATTAGCCTTATTGGATTGATTCACTTCCCACGTCTCTTAAACTTTTTCTCGTGTTTACTGCTCAAAGTTTTTTTCGCCACATCCCTAAATCAGTAATCTAAATTAAATTAAACAAAATTATAAGTTACAGTTTATACTCGTTCCGCTGTTGTTTCCAAACAAAAATTGACGATGGTCTAGACTACCCATGGCACATAGTACAAACCTTAGTCTGTATCAAAGCCATGGATGCTAAAACAAATATCTAAAAACTAGTTAAAGGGGATAATATGCGTTAAGAAGTATTCGTGTAAATAATGGAAAAAATGACCATTAATAATCATTATTAATTTTAACTTTAGAGTGGCAGCCTCGTATTGGTCATCGTAGTATAGGACGACCCCCGACTAGATGGAGTGAGGACCTGAAAACTGGCCGGCCGAGTCCGACTCGCACTCTAAAAATCATGTCTGATGTATGGCGGCCCGACTTAAATATTTTTCAATTTGTCGCTAAAGCGGCAACAGAAATACATCATCTGTGAAAATTCCAACTGTCTAACCGTTCATGAGATACAATCTAGTGACAGGCGGACAGACAGACAGCGGAAGCTAAGTAATAGGGGCCCGTTTTACCCTTTGGCTAAGGAACCCTAAAAAGCCGCACTATATCAAAACATACTCTTTCACTCTGGTACATACCTTACAACCTTCGAAGGGTTACATTCGTGACAGACTTGTTACAAACTATAATTAAAATCAATCCACGTGTTCAGCATAGAACACAGTCAATGGTCGACACGCGAAGTGAATTCTCTAACGTGAATGTTTCTTAAGTAAACTTGTAAACATTAAGATATGGCTTTCCGAACCATTGATTGGCTTTTGCTTTCAAAACACGCGAACACTTAACATATATTTGCATACATTTGAATCCAATAGAAACAATACGTCTGTTTTAATGAACGTTGGAAGAGTTGACTTTTTATTCATATGTTCTTTTCGTCATTACTAAGACGTTTGTTTAATTTTCAATTCAATTACTATTAGAATAAGGGAACTAAAACTTCAAATGTGCGGGACTGGATGAAAGTAGGTGACTCAGGATCGTGCTTCGAGACAGTCTGTGGGGGAGGCCTATGTTCAGCAGCGGACTCGAACAGACAGAAATGATCGGAGGAAGAAGTATCATGTTGTTTAATAGGGATTTAAGTTAAGTGCTGCAACCGATATTTTCTGTACACCTAAATGCACTATTAGCCCATATTTTCTTTTATAAATTAGAACTTTTTTAATCTGATCATAAAGCATATTTTATCAGGTAAATACTGATTGACATTTTAACAAGATGCAACATTGAATGTCCATTTGATTTCTATCAGAATTCACCACGACCTACCGCGAATTAACCTGTCACAATTCACTTCAGGAACTGTAAAGTATTTGGAAACGTGTGTGTATTATGAAATTTTGTAGTAGAGTGTGTAATAAATGAAAATTCAAATACATTCGATACAATTCAAATTAAAATATCTTTATTGAATATAGGAGGATTACACTCACTTATTGATAGTCCAAATACTAGCTACCGGTAATAGTAAATATATGGGGAATAATGGAAAAATTGTGAATAGACATTGATATTTTTATATTTCCCTATTTAAATCTATTCTAAGGTCTTTAAACATTACAAGTTGTTTGCTTTTTACTGTCGTATTAAAGAACTTAGTTAATAAAAGCTTTAAGTTTTAATAAAATATATATATATTTGTAACGAAGTCCACCGTTGTAATAATTTTTACATACTGGCAACGGGATCAGGAAGTAGGCCCATTCCTTTCCTCTTCAACTTCAAGTAAACAATGTCATCGAACAATTATATACGTAATCATTGTATTATTTTTACCACCTTTACACCACCTGCCCATTACAGGATTCTATTCTGTAGGTTTTGGTCAGTCTATTAGCTGCCCAAAACCCTTACTTGAAAAATCTTGTTTCTTAGATAAACAGAACGTCGAATACGAAAGTGTAGATTTTTTACCTAGTGTAATCTCGAGAACAAAACCATATCGCGATTCAATGTACTACTAGCGCCATCTATTAGAGGCCAACGTCAATGTTCTACTAGCGCCATCTATTAGAGGCCAACGTTTGTAAAGAATTTCGTCAGATTTCAACGAGGAACAAATGAACTTGCTTCATGCTTTAAACTTGAAGTACATTTGCTAAAGATTCCTTCGCGGGGTATATTTCATTTGTATTCTAAAAATTTTTTTTAGGTATTGCTTTAATAACTTATGTTAACGATGTCAGTCCCGACACTATTAAAGCTTCAGTGCTTATGCGTGCGTTAGGTAAGGAGTGTCGCCTACGGGCTATCGATGTTTCATTAAAACGTATCCCAGTTACCTCACTCACCCGATGAAATGCAGAAGTGTAACTAACTCTTCCACTTCCACTTCACCCCAGTCTTCTGTGAGGTCATGTGGTAATTTCACGGACGGGTGTGCCCATTCGTGCAACAGCGAAGAAAAAAAAATTGTACTATTATTATAATTATACATATTTAATACCTTTAAAAAAATACTTCCTATTACAACATATTCTCGAGATATTTTTAGTTATTGTTTCGAATATATGCGGGTTTCTTCACCGCTGAGCACGTGATAAATCGATGGATTTTTTTTGCCATTTTTATAGATAATGGTACGGAACCTTTCGTGCGCCAGTCCGACTCGCACTTGGCCGGGTTTTTTCTTTTTTTTTTAAAACATTGCCCTCACTTTAGGATAACGTTATCCAGTGTTGTAAGTACGTTTTACAAACATAAATTACACGAGGACAAACACCCAGATGCAAAACAACTATCTGTGGGTCGCACAAATAGTTGTCCCGTGTGGGAATCGAACCCACGACCCCCGACGCCGAAGGCAATAACTTGGCAACTGCGCCACGGAGTCATCTAATCTTTCATCTAGTCTTTTTATAATCGGTTTATATGCGGTCAAAAAGAATATAATAGTAATCCTAAAACAGGTGATTCTTTTTAAATAAGCAAAACAATATAATACATATATATATATCTTGTTAATAACAATATATATTACTTGGTACAATCAAATAATTATTAAATAAATATTTTTGCCTTTGGTTATGCCTTTTGATGATCAGTATTTCATATTATTTTGTTTATTTTTGTACTTTTCTTTCTGTTTTGGTCTGCAATAAAGCATGTTATTAGTATAATACTTTTTTATTTAAATTCCTGATTCAATATATTCCGTAACATTGTTTTCTTTAGCAATGTGTAGTATTCGAATAAATATAAAAAATGACCATTGAGACACGCCCCGTATCTTCGTCTACTCGCTCGTGTTTGCGTGTCATAGTGAAAGATTTTTCACCATCATTGATCTCAAGAAAAAGGCATGTGTTAACGTCGAACGCATTGCGAAGTTTTTGCCGAAATGCGTGAAAATCACGTCGACGCTTATTCGTTCTAAAATTGTCGATCTATTTAAAGCCGCCTATTTTCGTTCGCTTGAAATCACGGCGGTCACTCCGGCTTCCCGCCGCGTTATTTATCCCCTAATAAAACGAAGCAATTCAATTTATCCCATTACGGCGCATACCGTTGCCGGAACGATTCAAATTGGACTAACTAGGAACTTTTGACCCGATTTCACGGAGCTATGCGGGTCCGTGGCCAATAAACTATTTCGTGAAGGTTAATTACAGGGTCGTATTAAAAAGATTGAAAATCGTATTACGTGTCGGTGCAAATGACTGCTATTAAAATACGAAGTTCCCTTTTAAAGACAAGTATAGCATGCATGTATACTTACTTGTCTTTAAAAGGGAAACATTTCGCAACTTTCGTTTCAGACCAGAAGATGTGTGAATTAGCCGTATCACTTCTTTCACAAATGAATATTAAAATTGTGTCATTTTAAAGAGTTTTTCGTTAAATCGAGTATTATTATATTTATATAATGTACTTATTTAAAATGTTAGGGAGTCAGATATTCCCCTACAGTGCAAATGGTAATGGAAGGGCTTGCAGATGCGTATGCTAAACATCGGCCCGCCGATAATTAAAAATGGCGGGCGTTTATGACAGTGACAGTTATGGCGACGGATGCCCGTTGCCGCATTAGCCGCATCCGGGAGCGACACGCGGCTTGCATCCAAACGCCGAACGGAACGCGTCTCCGTTCGAATTTCGAACGGTCGCATCGATATTCAAATTTATAGTTCCTGATTCAAATTCACGCGTTGTCGCTGTTTTACTGCGTTTTAACGTTTACGGCCAGACGCTCGTAACGTTAGCCCTTTAATGGTGAAAAAGTAAAACTGGCAATTTTCTTCGTATTGCCGAGTGGGTGGTTTACAGCTGTCTAAAATTGGATAAGAATATAAACGAATTTGAGAGAGCTTCTGTTTGTTTGAAATTCTACGTTATTTTTTCTTGTTTTCATGATTATTGTTGGGAATTAAAAATGGCAGCAAAATAGATAGTTAACTCTGTGTAATGCAATAATATTGTTTAGCGCTTTCTTATTGAAAAATTGTAAAACGATTTGGTGAATTTTATTGAAAAAATTGAAAATAAATGGCGAGACTGGGCCCTTTTATTTTCCTATATCGACTATTCTGAAATCAT